GTTGTTTGCAAACACTGCTGGAGGGGATTTCACCCCACATGTGATCACAGTTCATACTGGGGAGGTAATGTGGGAGGACATAGATATGCCACTGCTTAAAAGTCTTTGTACGGATCCTAGATCCTTAATGTGTCAGAATTATATGATAAGTGATTTTCCTTCTTGATTTGCAGGATGTTGCAGGAAAAATTCTCTCCCTTTCGCAGAAAGGTCCTCGAGGAATTTGCATTCTCTCTGCTAATGGAGCAGTTTCTAATGTTACTCTTCGCCAACCCGGTTCTTCTGGTGGTATCTTGACTTATGAGGTATGATTTCTGATATAGCCTCCAGTGATTTCTGGTGTTGATGGAAACCTTTGTTTTCTTCAAAGTTGCTTTAACCCAAAGGGTTTGATAGCCCTTTCCCAGATAATGAAAAGAGTTAAAACTAGCCTTTGCGGAGAACATAATCTTTGTGATAATTTCCCCATTCTAGAAACTTTATTCTAGTGAGAATTGCGTTATATAAACTTTGTTATATTAGACAAGTCTCCAAGGAATGCCTGTTTTGTGTAAATCCACAATAGTTTCCAAGATTAGGACTTTGTCTTGGTCTGTTTTGTCCAGTTGTAACTTCTATAGGAAGCAGATTCTATCATAAAAATGTATGAAAGTTTTTCATTAGATTACCAAATTATGAATGCCTTCAAACTGCTTCTTTCTTTGCAGGGTCGCTTTGAGATATTGTCCTTGACAGGATCATTTACAGTGACTGACAATTGTGGTGTAAAAAGTAGAACAGGCGGCTTGAGTGTTTCATTGGCTGGACCTGATGGTCGTGTAATTGGTGGTGGACTTGCTGGTATATTGGTGGCTGCTAGCCCTATCCAAGTATGATTCTTTTCTTTCTTGTATCCATTTACAGTTTAGCACAAAATATGCTAGTGTTATGACTTGGTTTGATTTTCGTTTGGTAGATTGTTGTGGGAAGCTTCATGCCAAATGGATACAAGGTGCATAAAAGAAAGCATCACCGTGAACCCACCATGTCTTCTGCTGTTCAAGGTATTCCATTTACAATCACAGCCGCACAACCAATCTCACAAGCAAAACCTGATAGTGAGAATGCATATATTGCCCCTACATCTCCACCATTGGGACAAAGCTGCGGTGAACCAGACTCTAATATCATCACAAATAATCAACGAATGCCAAACCTGATGTCTTCCCATGCTGCTGTTTGGAATGGCTCAGAGACCACATCGATTCAGAGACCATCTCCTGATATTAATGTGTCTCTGCCGAGTGAATAGAACGTCGAAGCCCCAAGGCATGTCATTCTTCCTCTAGAAACAATCTATTTGTCTCACTATAATATGTTTGAGAGTATAACTTGGAGACTCTTTTTCATTTCAGGTTGTACCTTAGAGACTTGAAGGTTGACATGATAGGCTCACCGAAAGTAGATTCTCCCAAACTCTTGGTTGTAGCAACTACCTTATTAACAAACAATATGCTCTATAATTCCAGTCTTATTGCTGGAAATTGAACTGGAAACCCTTTTATTTTTCTTGAATTTTTCAGTTAGGATGTAAGCAAGCTAGTTTGTCTAGGGCCTTGTTATGTAGAAGTGCTGATGATCAACTTTTCCTAAACTAGACGTAATCATAATTTATTTGATACATCTCTTTTCTTAGTCAACTGCTGCATTCATCAACTTCACTTTGTTGGGCTTATGATCATTTCCAAGAGGACCAAATATTTGCCACTCCAACATGCACCAGACCGTAAATTTTGGTCCCTGTAAGAGTGGAATCCAACTTGAGTTTCACTTATTTTAGGACTGATGTTGCAGTTTGGCAGCATCAGTCCATTAATAAAACACTTCATACACATAAGAATTTGGTTGAAAACATACTGCAAATGCAACTTGATTCATCTGAGGCAATGAAACTTACCCAAAAAATTTCTGTGGTAATGAAGCGTAAAATAATCTTTTACCAGACTGGACTTCCAATCTGAAATGAATAAGAGTTATGGCAGGCTGTCCAAATGGGTATGCTTTAGCATAGGAAGATACATCATCTGTCTGCAACTGGCTAGACTAGCCAAGTATATAGCCAAGCAACTTTGTCCCATATACATACATACATATATACATCCTATGTGGTATAACAAGCTAATGAGAATTTGACTGACATATAAATCAATAAATTTTTGTGAATTAATACTCTTCTAACAAAAAGAGTTCGGCTAAGTTGATTTCCATTAACTTTAAAATTTAAAATTGAAATCTTTATAATATCAAATAAGTAATTATATTCCAAAAAAAAAAAAGATGACTTTCGAGACTCATAGGAAAAGTTGCTATTGTATTTGCAGATTGGGAAGAATGGGGTGTCCTGATGATCGAGATGGCTGAGCCCAATATGAACTGGGGCGAGCTCAGGCTGTTCCAAAAGCATGCATAATTGCATGCATACATGTCTTCTCAACCTCTTCAGAAGACTTCGCTGCCTATTTAGCAGAACCTTCCAGCATCATGTCTCCATATCTTTGCAGCACCTTCAATATCAATCCAAATTCTGATCTGATATAGTCTTTCCAGCATTATGACTCCATATTTTTCCAGCACCCTTGGGTCCATTCAAAGTCGATAAAACACAGATGCTTGAATCAGTTACTTTTTTTTTTGGTTAGCGATGTTGGTGTTTTTGTCGTTAATTTGTATATATTCTAATATTAATTTTTCTCCAATTCAGTTAAAAGCAAACCATCCATGTTGTGAAGAGAAAATTTACAAAAAATTATCTCCTTATTAGCTATTTAAAGGAATCAAATTTTGATCAATGAGGTACTAAATCAGCATGTTAAATAATGAGTATGAGTGTAAATTAATTATTATTTTCTTTCCATAGGGCCATTCTGACCCAACGACAAAAAAGGTCCATCAGGCCTAGAATTTGCTTTTTGGGTTTTCTTCAACTATTGTTATTTGGGTTTACAACAGTCCAATTTATATCACCTAAATGCATGGTAGAGGAATGGAATAACTAAAATTCAGAAGAAAATTGAGATTACTTCTGCTATAAAAAAAAAAAAAGGTTGATATTGCTACATATGAAAAGTATATATTTTATTTAAGAATTCACTTGAAATATTATACATATATTTATTTAATAATATATTATATTCATTTAATACAATATTATATCATAAATTTATAATTTTACGTAATATTGTAATTATAATATTATCAATACTAAAATCCTTTAACAAAAGTCATCAGCCAATAACCGTGAATCTAAGCCATATTATCACAATTCGATATGTGTCTAGGATTAGCCTAACGTTCAATTAATGCCTAGATGATTAGAGTAAAGAAAAGATAACATTAAAGAATCCAACGCACTCCCTAAATTCAATCTAAATATAAGGACTATGGAGCTTCTTCGTCACATGGTCCCAAAAAAAAAAAAAAGGGAAGAAACCTTCTTCCCCACGCATTAGGCACGGTGGCGCCGCTGGCTCTTAGTGCAGGACACTGCTCGGAGGTTTAATGTTCGACTCCCCGCTCCTCCTTTCCCATATCCTCTAGTGAAGAAATAGTAATCTCCCGGTGAATTTAGGGGAGATCTCCCCTCCTCCTGTAAGGGCAGGACAGAGCTCGATGCTCTGTCACAGTGTCAGGGTAGAGCTCAATGTTCTGCTACAGTACCACAGTTGCACGATGATTATGATGAGGATGCTTACACTGATTATCAGTCTGCTACAGTACCACAGTTGCACGATGATTATGATGAGGATGCTTACACTCGATCATTAGTCCTCACCTAACCCTTCGTCTACAAAAGACCTACTCCGTAAAATACGTCATGCTCATTTAATGCGATTACTTCATTAAAGCACGTTATGTCCACGAAAGACGCATGTCCCGTCAGACACATCATGTCATGATTATGATGATTAAGGAAGCCACATGGATATTCAATCAAGATAGACAAAGATGTCCATGCATGGCTCAAAGGAGGTATGACCAAAAACCAGAAAAACAACTCTTTCAAGATTCTCATTAAGAGTAGACTAGACTATTGTTAACTTAAGTATCGAAATGTTTACCCCAGGGACAACCCTCGGGGCTTTGTAGGTCAATTTGGCAAAGAAGTTTATGGCGCATGAGGCCTAGAAGGTTTGCTGCAACAACACCTCCCTCTCCTCAGGTTGGCTTAAGTGTAAGAAGTGAGGAGTCTCAAAGGTAAATTTTAAATTCCACTATTGTCATTTAAGTAGAAATTAATAATTTTAATATGTTATATCTTTTTTTTAATCAGCAATATATCATATCTGTTATTTATGAGTAAAAATTTACTTTATATTTATAAATAATGGGATTTATATGTATTTATAAAATTAGTAATGTCAAATGCCTAAATACTTATATAATAATAATAATAATAATAATAATAGAGAATCGTATTTTATAATTTAAACAGTATCAAATTGTATAAAATAAAAATCATTAAATAAAAAAAACCTTAATTTTATTTTTATTTAATAATTAATATAATGTAATTTAATACAATCTAAATTGCATTTTTTTTTATATGATGGTAATAAGCCCCTTAGTGAAAAGCTTGTCTACGTCAACAAATGTTGAATGTGCAATTGATGGGCAAAAATTCTTGAAGAACTGATTTGTGGATAAAAATAATGTTTCAGGGTGTAAAGATGATTTTTTTTCGTTCTTCTTTTTTCGAGTTGGAGAAACCGACCACGGTTAGGACAACTTCTAAAAGTGATACTGCTCGAATACAACCAAACCATTTTTTTTGTCGGTCAAATTTGATCAGAAGCTGCTTCTAGTCCTTTTTGTACTACCATCAGATTAAGAATATTCTAAAATAGGCAATTTTTTTTTATAAGAGTAATGGTTAAAAATTAGTATGTCAGAAGTATTAGTGAGAGGTGTTAAACTTAATATATAAAAGTGTAAATCACAAACTATCCTTTTGAAATAACAAGTGGTTACTGGACCACAGGTACGTGTAATGCCCAAAATAGACAATTGATCATTCTGAAAATCAATGACAACTATCAAACTAATTTCCATCTCAGAATATCATTCTTTTTTTCCCTGAGACTGTGTTATAATCATGAGGCATAACATGCTCAAGATTTGCCAAATGGGTAAGTGGAGATCTAGAATGGGCCGGGTTAATATACATGGTTGGTCATTGATGTCAAGTTCAATAGGGACACGAGGATCCCCCATTACGTTGTTGTTTTCCACGGAGTTCAGGAGACCAAGTTAGATGGCAAATCACGTCTACGTATCACATCACCCTTTGTGGCCACCTTCCAACTTTCCGCCCTAGCTACCACATTAATTCTCGTCACACACAATAATTTCATTTTAAAATTGGTATTTATAATTGAAAATTTATTAGCAGACCAACATCTTAATTTGTTATAAGAAGAATTTACATATAATTATAAATATTAAATTTATTGATAAATTAGTGCCATTTTATAAATTAAATTTAAAATTTAAGTCTTAAAATTATTATTTAATCCAATTTGTTAAGATTATCTCAAGATGAATTAATTTTAAAATATATAAAATTTAATCTAAGGACATGTTGACCGTAAATAAATTAAAAAAACGATCATATTGTGCTAGTGTCATCAAGGAATACAACATTGTTGAGGATTAGTTTGTTCGGTAAGAAGAATATTTTTTATTTTAAATTATATAATAAAAGAAATTTATTTATTTATTTTTTAATTCACTCTAATCATATATAATAAATTTAAATTTAACATTTCTTATTTTTATTTAAAAAAGATTATTATTAAATTATTTTCATTATTAGCATTTGGTAAAAAGAATTAATCTTCTACGTGGTCTAAAAACTTGCAGCTTTACAAAGAGTCAGAGATTAGAAGAAGGTAAATTCATTTTGTATTCTTTAAGCCCCGTATTAATAGATTTTATTTAATGGAAGCTCAAACTAACAACTATAACTTAAAGAAACATGGAAATGGAGAATATGTACCTTTGAAAAGCAAAAAATAAAATCCACCATCATAGATTCCTTTTTTGTTGGCCTAATTAGTTACAAAAAGGGAAATTACAAAAAGGGGAAATAAAAAACAAATAGGAAGGTTTCGTGTTCCACTTACTTTTATGGGTTAATTTATTTGATGGAAACCAATCAAATCTCACCTTTCTTTTAGCAATCCACCCAAATAATTTTCTTTTAAAAAATAGCAACTTGATATGATTCCAATTGGGATTCTGTTAGTTTGCCCTTAATTAATTAATTGGTTTTGACTAGTAAAAGAGTATTAGGTGACGATTAAGAAAGCTTTAAAGACGAAATAGACATGTTTGTTTTCCTAAATGCATCACCCAATTAAAAATACCTTCTACAAGTTCTAATATAAATTAGGTATATAACACAATCAAAGTACTCATTATTGTACAATAAAAAAATGTTTAATGTTTTTTTCCATCTGTTTCCTTGATGCAACCGTCGTCTGGTATCCGAGGCCATTTGTTCATGTCAAGATTGGAGCACCAAGTACTAAAGAAATTGTGAAAAATTTTCCCTTCACACGATTACTCTGAGAAACAAATCTTAGTTAATAAGATTTAAAAAAAAAATCTTATAACCTAC